TATTAAATAAAAAGTGAAGATAACTTAGTTTCAGCAATATCATTCCCAAATATTATTTGAATAATTCAGAATAAATATATATTTTAAAAAGATAATATTTAAGACAATTTGCCAAAAACATTCAGTGATGTCAAAAATTTTAGTATGCTTTTCTCATTTGTATTCATAATATTTAATTAGATATTTCTTTGTTTTTAATTGAATATGAACAGTATACAAGTAAAATTCATTATTAAAAAAGTGGAATGAACTGTATCACAATGATAAATTTTTAATTTTTTTTAATGAGCAAAGGTAAAATTTTAAATTTGATTCATTTGAAAAAGCTCAATATGTATTAATAATGAATAAACCTATTAAAATGGTAAACTAGTGTTTCTCATTTCCCGGACTTTTGCTTGTCCCGGGATTCCGGGATAAAATTAATTATTTTTAAGATATACAAAATATCTTGAAATCAAATGATATAATTATTTTTCATTTTTTAAAGTAATTTAATATGTTCTGCAACTTCCAAAATCATATTAATAATGCTGTGTAAAATATATATTAAAAATTACCTTTGAATTATGTAGAAATTTTCACAAATAGAAAAAATTTATTAAAGTTTGCTGGAAACTGCATACAACAACAACAACAACAAATGCTTTGAATTGAATTGAAGATTTAAAAAAAGAAAAATTAACTTAGATTTAGATCAAACTTCTAACTTAAAAAGTAATTTTCGTTTTTTAAATGAAACATAATACAAAATATTATTGTAAATTTTTATAATAAGATTTTAAAAAGCAAAGATGGTCAATACTCCGATCAGTCAATCTGATTCTTATTTTAGTAATGAAAAGTTCTGCTACCGAATATGCCCTCTTCGATTCAATTCATGTGGGCTGAATTGTCTTTAATGCATTTAAGAGAAGACAGGTGTTATATGTTTTTTTCACTTGTAGCCTGGAAGATTTCGAGTTCATCTTCAAGATTGTAGTACTTCTTTTGCTCTCTAGTATTCTTGATTTGTCTACCTCGTCTGCTTTAATAGCGGCATGGAGCTTATAGCCCGATAATTTGGCAGTTCATTTGGCTTTAATAATTGGGTTTATGAAGAAAAACTTCATACTTGCAGACTTTGTACTCGTTTGTATTCTTGCCCAATTTGCACAATCTGACGTTACGCAGTTATCGAAGCTACCGGGCATGGTTAAAAATTAAGACAGCATAAGCACAGTTGTTCCAGATATTACGGGTTCTGACAAGTAAAGAATTTTCAGAGTCCTGCCACAAATAAGCTACGTACTGATTATTGACCATTTGTGACATGCCATAATAAACAAAAATTTAAAAAACTAATAAGTAGTTTTAAAATTAATAAATACAAATGTATTCTGACAGTTTGTGAGTTAATTATACTTTCTATTTGCAAAATTTCCTCAACCTTAACACAAAATAAGAAAAAAGTGAACTTTTAAGAAATTTGTGGAATTTTCCGGAATGAGAAGAATTTCCCGGGTTAAAAAAACAATCGGGATCTCATTTGAGAAACCCTAATACTGATGAAATACATCATATTTATAATTAAACTGCTTTAAAAACTAATTGTTAGTTATAGTACATTCATATCTGGCAACACTGTGTGTGCTTGTTGTTCTTTCTTCGTTGTTCAGGTTTCAGAAATTGGTGAAACAGCAAATGTAAATGTGTATTACTTGATAAGTAAAGTAATCAAGTAGAAAGGAAAAGGTAATATTTTCATTCATTAATTTAACACTAATTTATTCAATAATTTATTCAACAAAAGCCTCTAAAAACAAATTTATAGCTCAGAAAGTTTCTATATTTAATTATATATACGTAAATGTCAAATATCAAAGCTAATTTGGATGAATTTCTTTAATATTTTTTTTAATAAGTTAATGTCGTGAATTAATAAATATTAATAAAATACTAAAAGTTTCAATTTATAGTAATTAAACTTTAACTTAAAATTAACATTAATAAAAAATAATTTCTACAATTAAACTACAAATTATTATAATAAACATAACAATAATGTAATATTATCACAACAAAGCCCTGCTTTATAGCAGACGAATTACTATAACAACGAAATTTCCATGCATTCTATTTATTGAAAACAATTATACTTCACACAACCTTTTAGTATGAAGCCTTTTTTTATTACTCTTCAAATGCTTTTGTTCTGTAGAAATTGGAATCGTTTGATTTTGTTTCCCGAAGGTCAATTAAATGACCAAAAACGTTTGAAGAGTAATAAAAAAAGGTTGCATACTAAAATGGTGTTTGAAGTGTGATTGTTTTTAATTAAGTGCAGTTTGAGAAAAGTGATTCTATATATTTAAATAGTATTTAAATAAAATTTAAACAGTGATTCAGATACAACAGCTCCATTTTAACTCTTCAACCAAAGAGACCACTTTGAAAGCAGCAATCCTTTAGTGTTTTGATTAATGTTTTTGAAGAAATTTGCATTTTACCTTCAGATCTTTTAGCATTTAAATGTTTCATTCAAATGCTTATGGATCTGTATCTATTTAAAATTGAATTTAAAAACTTTTTAAATATTTAGTTTTTTAATAATTTGAAACAATAACTTAGAGGATCTGTAAATTTAAAAAAAAAAAAACAACACATAGTTTACATATTTTAATTTAAATATTTCTTAAATGAAAATACACATAAAATCATTTAATACATAAAGTTAAAATTAATATTTTTATAAATATAACTATATACTATAACTGAAAAGTTGTCTTTTACAGATTACATTTATAATTTTCTAAGTTAAATGTAATATTTTTTAGAAAGATTTTTTAAAAATCTTATTATACATGTTAATTTCTTATAATTAATATTATAATCTTAAAAAATCTCAATCATTCTGAAATGTCTATAATATAAATATCAATAATTTTTAACTTAACATATAATTTTATTTCTGGTTATAAGTTAATGCAAAAATAACTTTAAAATATCAAAAAATAAATGTAATATTCATTTCAAAAGGAAACTTTCAACAGAATAAAAAACATAAAACAGAAATATAAAAATATTTTATTATAATTATCTTTTTTTAAAATTTTGTTTAAAAAAATTCATTATAAATTAAAAATTCTAGAGAAGCAAAAATAAAAACATTAACTTCATTTGTATAAATTTTTATTAAAATTAGTTTTTATTAAATTCAGTTTTTATAGAATTAGCTTTGCATATTTAATAAAAATAAAATTTGTTTTTTATTTACCCTTTGTAATTTAGGTGTTAAGTGTTCATGAGCCATTGAATGAGTTTGTGCTCTTGGGTGACCTTCAGCTAATAGGGCACTTACAACGACATTCTCTCTATTATGATATCTGAAAGTATTTTTAATTATAATTTAATTTTTATTTTGTTTCCTAACTTCAATTTTTAATTTGCTATGGTACTGAAATTTTTAAAAACATTATGTATATTTTCTAGTAAAATATACTAATACTTTATGTTTATCTATTATTGATTAAAATATAAACTACATTTAATATCTAAAAATATCTATTCAATAATCATAATTTGATACTAAAATTGCTACTTTTAAATAAATTCAACAGACATTTATTATTATTGAAAGAAACAATGAACTAACTTTTAAATTAAGAAAATATAAATCCTTTTTTTTCTGTCTGAAATTATGTTGTCTTACTTGTTTATTTTTCTGTTGTGGAAAATGAAAATTCTAATTCTTCACTTCAACAATCAACATAAGATTTGAGAAGTCAATATATTTATTTAAATATAATAAATAAATTGGTTTAAAAGTTTTACTTTGCATATTGAAGTACAAAATGAATGGTTGTTTTCCAAAACACAAAAATAAGTAAGAAATATATATAGGTGACAAAAAATGTTAATCACTAAAGTTATAAAACATGAGAAATATAAAAAAAATTCATATATTGTAAAGATGAATCAAAACATTTTGATACTGAGTTTTTTCCTGTTGACAACACCAAAACATTTTGGATCTATATCACTGTAAAGAACAGTTATCAATACGTGTGTCCAAAGATTGCATGGAAATATAATGCTTCATTTAATTGCTACAGTGTGCAGAGCAAATGTCATCTACTACCTATGACAAAATGGAGATTGTAAGTTCGCTGACCCCTGATGGAGATTGGGGACTTAAAATCTCACTCCTTGGACACCAGTGTAAGTTTTCCAATTTTCAGGGGGAATCGTTAATCCCATGTCAGGATGATCTAGGGTCATGTGTGTGGGTGTGGCAGAGGAGACACGGATGACAAGAATCTCACAAAAACCCATTTATTTTAAACTTACACTAAGGAACAAAAATGTTTTTTATACAATTGGAGGTTCGAATTGTCAAAGGTGTTTCTAATGTTGCTCAAAGGAAGGCCCCAGGGCAACAGCAGATGTAGAGATTTGTCAGTTGGTGTCGGCGGTCTGAGTCCGTAGTCACAGGTTACAAGTTGGGCACAACAGACGGAAAACTGCTTTGTGCATTGACTAACCGTGTGCAGGTGCACAGTTTTCGGAAAGTCAGTCTGTTCTTGAAGATCGGGGATTATATCAATCTCCGTTCTTTGTTTTTTTTCTTCTGATTGGTTCCACGTCCCTTTTTTCTCGCTCCCCGATTGGTCTCTCGTCTGTCTCTAAGCGAAAGACGATTCCTATTTGAGTCACCAGAAAGATCTGCTTCAAAGAATATACTTGACATTATCTGTTACTCTGGATGCAAAATGTTGATGGAACTTTGAAACTTGCGCTCATATTTTTCACCATTGTTGTCTAGTCTGTGACATTTTTGAAATTTAACGATTCAATGCAATGTCCCTTTCCGTTATTAACCTTTCCTCTTTTCAAAATTTCTATGTTTTAATTATTTGTATATGAGTGCCTTGTCAAAGGTCCATCTCTACTGGTGGTTGTTCGTTTACAATTATTAATCATTTATAATTATTGCATTCTGTTTACATCAATAGAGTTTTTTTCTCTCTTCGCAGTTTCATATGACTAGAACAACTAATTTGATCTTTGATCGGTTTTTAACAATAGACAATTTTTTTTCTAGTTTCGTTTTAACAAATTTCTAATAATAAATGTTTAATTTCAACTCATTTTTGGGACCTCACAAGATTTATTCTGAAAATATTCTGAAAAACAATATAAAATGCTGAAATTTTGAATTAGTAAAAAAAAAACAATGCTGAAATTTTGTTTCTGCTAGTGAAAAACAACTAGAGAAGCATATGAAATGTTAAAACAGGAATATAGTGAAGAAGCTCTTCCACAATCCATAGCATTTTGATAACTCAAGGCATTCTTTGAAGGCAAGAAATCAACTTTGAATCTTGTGAGTGTTGACAGAACTCAAACACTGCTGGTGTCATCATCTAAGATCAAGTTACCTTTCCTGAATTTGCTGGTAAGTTGAATTTCTTCTGAAAGCATTCATACAATTCTGCATGATCATTTGCACATAAAGTACATTTATTTTCAATAGTAACCCTTAGCTTCTGATACCAGAGCAAGAACATATTTGAATGGAAATATGCAAATGGTCTATGTCTGGTGGACAATCTAGAAGATGCATTTCTGCAATCAGTTGTCACTAGTAATGGAACCTGACTGTATCACTATGATTCTGAGAGCAAACACACCAGTGTGGAAATCATTCTCACCTCTCACTATAAAGTCAAAAGTTGTTCTTTGGAGTGAAAAAATGATGGTGCTTTTCCTACTACTAGTAATTTTTCTTATCATTTTTCATAGTTTAAATTTGGTTAAAAACTGATATTCCTGTAAGTATAAAATAATATATAAAACTGATATTGGAATGTCAGTTTTATATGTTTGTCTTGGCATAATGTTTAAATTTATTTAATATATCTTCTACACATTTTATTGAAAATTAACTGTTATTTTAGCAAAATAAATACATATATGTATTTCNTCTATATATACAGTAAACTTACTGTTTTAAAAATTGCCAAATATGTCCTTCTTCTACAGTTGGAAATTGTAAACATAATTTCATTAAAATTCTTTCATCAACTTGAACAACACCCCCATCTTGCTGTTAATGGAAAAATTAACAAATATACAGTTTCAGAATCATTATAATACTCATGTATTATATCTATACTTTAATCAACTAATAATTAAATCTAATTTATGATACAGTATTAAATTGATTAGTTTCAAACCATTTCATATTAAAAATACATGCATGTTTCTGCATAAATCATGATAAAGGAAATAATTGTTTAGTTTTATTAGTCACCTTTAACCTGTAAGGAGTTCTTGGACTTCCACAATATGGAGAGTAACCACTCTGATAGAAGATGCATAAATAATAGGTATTAAAATTCTGTATATTAGTTTAAAAAAAAAAATACTCCATATTCGTACATAGTTATAAAAAATTGCAAAAATATAACATGATAAAAATCATTTCAAGTGCCCTCTTATTTAATCAATAAACAGAANCAACACAGGGACTTGTATTCATACGATATCACCAATTTGAGCAAAAGGAAACTGCAAAGAATTTGGTGACAGACTATTGCCTCTCTGTCTACATCGGCTTCTTGGTGTCGTTTCGACCTCCACCAAAGCTTATCTGTGCTTGTTGACATACACCGGCGATTGTTCGAATGTATAATAATATAACCAAATATTCGATCTTTCACCGACGTATTTTGTATGTGTCGACATTCACCGGAGAATCTCGACATTCTCTATTTTCGGTCTTTCACAGTAACATATATATCAAATATATTTCTATATGTTGACTTGAAGATGGATTGAAGTAATCCAAAAAATGTTTGTCAACATATAAAAACTTTCTCAAATAAAATATTTTTTTTTAAATTTTAAAAAGAAAAATTAAAAAATTTATTGCTTTGACAAAGATATTGTTATTTATTATAATCACTTTGCTTTAAGATAAATAAATTGTTATCACTTTCATTTCTAATCTTTACTATTGTGTATTCTTACTATCTTTAATTAGTTATTTTCCTTCTTGCAATATTCTCCAGATCAATGAATCCAGTTATAATGATTTTATAGTAAATAGCAACAACTGCAAAATGTTTAATTATTAAGTAAAAAGTAATTAACTTAATCCCTTTTGTATTAAATTGTTTAAAGCATAACAATAATTTATATTTTAGAACAAAGTCAATGTATTATTATATTTATAAGAAAACATTACAAATTTGTGATATTTGTCAGAGTTTAAACAAAGGTTAAATATTTGTCATAAATTGAACTATTGCAGATGTAAAAGCATAAATAAAGTTAGTAAAAGAACTGCATTTTTTAGATATTTAAGTAAACTAAATTTTATAATAAGAAATTACTCACAAAATAATACATGCATTTCCATAGCTACAGCTAATTTTCATGAATCTATTCCCTATTTTCCATGATTTTTGATTAATATTAATATAACATTTTGATTTCAACAGATGCTAAAGAATACCATGTAAATTGAAGGATAAATGTTATAGATAAATATAAAAAGAAAAATAAACGTTATCCAAATAAAGAATATAGTAGTTTTTCAGTTTAACTATGTGAATATTAGAAAGTAATTTGTATTATACATGAAAAAATGATATTTTATATCTCAATAGTGTGATGAATTCATAACTTAATTTATGGAACAACATTGATGAAATAACAAGGAAAATGTAAATCTTTCAAAGAGAACTTTCTAAAAGAGACTTTCAGATAAAAATGCACATTACTTAATTTCAAATTATAAATAACCTACTAGTAAAATATAATATATCATTTAATAATAAATTAATAATAATATATCAATATAATAATCATTTAAAATTTTTAAATAATCAAAAATTGTGTAAAGAAATGAAGAGAAGAAATTTCCCTCAGAACAAAATTTAAAGAAAATTATATACTGTACATATATAACTTTAATATATAATTATATAGCTATAAACTGATTAATCAAGAAAATTTTATAACCAGGTTTATTAATTTTTCTAACAGAAATAATTTCTTTTTCAAAAACTAATCATTTTATTGACATCACTCTTAATGTGGATAATTGATTGAAATAATACATGTAGTGTATGTACAGTACTCCCCATTAGAATACTACTGAAATCAATCTGGGTGCTGTAACGTGGTCCTGTAATCTGAGTGCTTATGTTAATTAACAAAATTCATATTATATGTCTGATAGCATAAATTATTAAATATCAATTTTTCCAACTGTTACAAAAACAAATAGTCATTTTGAATTGTTTATACTATGTTTTAAAATGTATATCAATAAAATAATTTTTTACAACTGTGATACTAATATGTATCATTTTAATTATTTTCAACTTTTCACAAAATCTAACTATAATAATTATAGTAACTATATAAATAATTCAAGAAAATTTTTAAAGATCCACATTATCTGTAATAAGAAGAGGTCAAGATGTTAATGTTTCGATGAGATAAGTATCATTATGTAGTAATTGAAGACTAATATAATATAGCATATAGGGATCAGAATTCATCTGATTTCCAAAAGGTAAGGTTAAAAATAAGTATAAATAACAGTCATAAAACAGTCATTACACTGGGTAGTAACAAAAGTCTCTCCCCAAACAATTATTTCAAACATTAATAAGGCACAATAGTAATTACTGTTCATCTTTCTCCAATGTATATTATGTTGAGCATGAATTAATGTGTGAATTTTCACACCCTCCAGCCCTTCTATCAGAGAGGGCTATTGCAAATCAAAAATCTTCTAATCTGAATACCAGTATTCTGATAAAATCACACTAACACAGTCAACTATTCTATCATTGCATAACATGAATGCAATGCTAGAATAGTTGACTGTGTACATAGGTTTAAGTTCATACATTTGATATTTTCTATTACATCATTTAATAATTTTTCAGATCATTTGTTTATCTATATCATTTCTAACCCACTTCAGCTCACTCCAATAGGGTTTCAAGAGGACAGAAATTTGGACCCTCATTTAGAATATACTCAACAGAATACATCAGTAAAAGGTCTACAAAAAATGCTCAATTAATTTTTGAAATAACTGATTGAGGAAAGACTTTTGTTAAATCATTTTCAATAACTATACTGTATAAGATGATTTTAAAATTACTTATAGTATATAAACTTTTTATGATCTGTTACTTTCAATTCATTAATGGCTGCAGTTTTGAAGTGAAGTAATTTCAAATTTTTCCCAAAAGGTGTTTTTATCATTCTTTAGTCTTACATTCAATTGTACTAATTTTCTCATTGATTTTGAAGAAATGCATAGAATTTTATTGGAAATATGTATATTTTATAGTTTAAATTTCACCTACTTTAAAAATTATTTTTTTTCTAAACAACACAAGCAGAATTTATTTATTATATTAAAGAAAGAAATTTATAATAAAAAAATTAAGATTTTAGAATTTTAAGTTTAAACAAAATATAAAAACCAAAATTTATTTTTATGATTTAAATAATTTTCAGTGAAATTTTGTGAAAACTACAGATTTTAGAGTTAGCAATATTGTATCCAGTGTAAAGTTTTTAACATACAGTATCCCATCAACCATATACATTATTGAGTAATTTTTTTTAAATTCAATATTCAAGATATAATAAATTTTTCAGTTTCTATTTGCTAATATTCAAGAAAATTCATTACTATTTAAATAGTTTGATTAGACTATATTTGTTCAAGTAGTTTCCCTGTGATATACAATTCCTCATTTTCATTTATAAAACTTTGAAACTAATTTTTTTCTTTAATATACTTTTTCCTCTATGTTCTGAGAGCATTTTTCTCAAATTTCATTGATTTTAACACATTTAAATTTACAAATGTTCCTGCAGACAGCTATAAGAACAATACTTTAATTACAACTAATCAGAATAAAATAAATTTGAAAATTCAGTGTACAAATCAGTATAAAAATATCTCACAAGTATTCTAAATCACACTCTCTGAATTCCACATCCCTCAAAAGCCCAAACAACCTGGGCACACATTGCAAGTTTTATATAATACTGATATGAAATAATGATAGAACTCTAGTCCATCACTTTGCTTTAAGATAAATAAATTGTTATCACTTTCATTTCTAATCTTTACTATTGTGTATTCTTACTATCTTTAATTAGTTATTTTCCTTCTTGCAATATTCTCCAGATCAATGAATCCAGTTATAATGATTTTATAGTAAATAGCAACAACTGCAAAATGTTTAATTATTAAGTAAAAAGTAATTAACTTAATCCCTTTTGTATTAAATTGTTTAAAGCATAACAATAATTTATATTTTAGAACAAAGTCAATGTATTATTATATTTATAAGTTTTAGTCTAATTCAATTAAGAAATTTAACTATCTTTGATTTACTTACTACCGAATTTAAGTTTATTCAAAATATAATAATTATTTTTCATATAAATTTGAAAATGTATAGTTCTTAACATTATACATTGTTGATAAGAAAAATTTTAAACAAAATATTGAAATCCATTGCAAATTTTGAAGACTTAATATCTTGTGATAAATTTCTTCTTAGCCTATTAATTAATATTCACTAGAATGACATAGAAACCCTATTCAACCCTTTAGCAACACCGAAAGTATACTACACTTACACTTAAAACGAATCTATTACCAGTATGTATCTTATAAAAAATCGTCCCACAAACGTTTTCGAATTTTATGAAGTTCTTCTTCAGGTGGAAATAGAATACTTGCGAAAAAATCGAACAGATTTCAAATCAAAAAGACAAAAGAGAGCAAAAGAAGTATTAGTGACATAGAAATCATTAAGAAATGTTTAGCAATTTTATTTTATAGCAATTATTTATCAATAAATTATTTGAAACAGGCAATGTTTTCAGGTCATTTAATCTTTTTTAGAAAAAAAAAAAAAA